GATGTCGGTGGGTTCGACGGTCAGGTGCGTGTCCCCACCCACTGTTGATGTTCTCCGGTGATAACGCATATATGCGTTCCAGATGCTCTGCGAGAACTTCCTGGGGATGTGCCCCCTGCCGCCGGTCTCTCCGCTGAACCTTACCGGCTGGTTCGCCAAGCCAAAGCCGAACCCGCTCCCGCCGCCGAAGAAGCCCAGCGGCAAGCGGCTCAAGGTCCTGCACCTCTCCGATGTGCACATCGACCCGCGTACGCGCGTTCCCCGTTCTCGCCGCGCCCCGCTTGCTCACCACGTGCCCAGGCTACGCGACGGGCACCGAGGCGAACTGCTCGTCTGGCCTCTGCTGCCGCAGCAACGTGTTCAACTCGCAGAGCCCGAACGTGACTGTGCGCCCCGCGCCTAGATACGGGTCGTTCCTGTGGTACGCTCACGTTCCTACGTTCCTCGCGCACGCCACCGTGTTGACCACACGTGCCCAGCGACGCGCCGTTTTCGCTCATACTCGCGGGCTTGCAGTCGATCCCCGTGCTCACGGACACTGAGAAGACCGGCTTCGACTTCACGATTTACACCGGCGACCTCGTCTCGCACGACCCCGACCACCAGCTGAGCCGCGACTACATCATGTACACTGAGGTACGCGCGATGCGTCTGCTCGTACGCGTCTGGCTGACATGTGCGCGGCGCAGACGGTGCTGTACGACCTCTACAAGCGCCTCCTCGGCTCTGGCCCCGTCTACGCGTCGCTCGGCAACCACGACACCTACAACCAGTGCGTCTGTCTTGCATCGGCCCTGTGCTTCTCTGACCGCAGCCCAGGGCCCAAGACGCGCCGCACGCGCTCGGTCCGCCGCTCGCCGACCAGTTCCAGTGGTCCGTCGCCTTCTACGCGTATCTCGTCGCCTAGAGGCTCATGTATGCGCGTCGGACAGGGACTACGACCACCTCGCGTCGCTGTGGGAGCACGAGAAGTGGCTGCCCGAGGCCGCCGTCGCGGAGGCGCGTGCGCACTACTCGGCGTACATGGTGCGCCGCGTCGACGGCCTGCGCATCATCACCATCAACACGGACATGTGTACGTGCGACTCGGGCACACCGCGGGGTGCAGGGCTGACGTGCGTCGGCGACAGGGTACAAGGCGAACTGGTTCAACTACATCAACATGACGACGCACGACCCGTCGGGCATGCTGCGCTTCGTCACGGACGAGCTCCAGGCGGCCGAGGATGCCGGCGACCGCGGTGCGTCGCATGCGTTGTTCGCAAGCCAGGGACGCGCTGACGATGTTTGATTAGTCTGGATCCTCGGGCACGTCCTCGCGGGCTGGGACGGCACCAACGCCCTTGGCAACCCAACGGATCTCTGTGCGTCGCCTTCGCTTCTTTCATTGACTCGAGCTGACCGCCATCACAGTCTACCAGATGTACGACTTCTGTCCCAGGGATTTGTGGTGTCCGGGCTCACGAATGGCTTCTGCAGCGTCGACCGTTTCTCCCCGCATGTCATCGCCAACATCTTCTGGGGCCACACCCACGAGGACGAGCTCTCCGTGCGTACCCGCTACTTCCGCTCCGATGATATCAATTATTGAGAACGTTTCAGATTTTCTACACGAACAATGGTACCGTGCAGAGCAGGGACACGGCCCTGACTCCCTCATGGGTCAGTTGCGATACTCCTCGGCGACGCGTGCCTCCTTGCTCAAAGCATATCAGATCACGCCCTCGCTGACTCCGCTCACTAACCTGAATTCTGGCTTCCGGATGTACGAGGTCGACTCTAACGTGAGCATGATTTTATCAAGTCGCCGCGGTCAGCTGACCGAGATATCACTGTAGACTTTCGACATTCTTGATGCCCACACGTGAGTTATACTCAGCTTGCTCAGTCGAAGGTCGACTGACCACTGTCGTAGCTGGATGAGCGATGTCAACACCTTCCCTTCGCTGGACTCGCAGATCGAGTTCGGCCCGACCTACAAGCACGAGTACAGCACGCGCGAGGCGTATGGCGCGAACATCACCGGCTGGGGCCCGAATGACCCGCTCAACGGAACCTGGTGGCATCTCGTCACCGAGCGTACGTCCGACCTCCTCCTCCACCTCACCTGCCGCTGACACGTGTTCCGCCACGCAGAGATGGAGAACAACCCCGCGCTCGTGCAGCAGTTCAACACCTTCCAGGGCAAGACCTCCGTGCGCTCGCCGTTCTGCTCGGGCGACTGCATTGCCGCGAAGATCTGCTACATCCGCAGCGGCAGCGTCCCGCTCGCGCTTTCGAACTGCATCCCCGGCTTTGGCTCGGTGCAGAGCCAGTTCTCTGGCAAGTGAGCGGCATGCTCCCGCACGCTTGTCGAGGCATTGATCACACTCCCTCGGAACCTCGCTCGGACTCTTGTCCCTCTTTCTTGGTACGGTGGTGCGGATGTATGTCTGCTAGCTGAATGGAATGAAGGAGATGAATTGAAACCACGTCTTGAACAAGAAAATTAAATCGCGAACTCTACGTTCTTGCCTCTTAAGTCCGAATCCTTCGACAACTTGAATCACCACCGCTCGATACCCTCTGCGACGCCTGTGTCCTTTTTCTCCAACTACCCAATGCCTCGTCGAGGGCGTCCCACAGGGGCGGCGGGGCACCCAACTTCCACCCTGCCACCAGCCGTCGTCCTCCGTATAGGCGGCGCGTCCGATCAGCCGTCGGTGGGGTCGAAGAACTGCCCGCGGCCGTCGATCTGGTTCTTCATCTTCGCCGTGTTGAACTGCACCTGGAACGCGTCGAAGCCCGCGAGGCGGCGTGGCGGCGGCGGGGCTGCGCGAGGTTCTCGCGTCACGTTCGGGATGCGCGCGAGATGCGAGCCTATGTCGCCTGCGTTCGGTGCGAGGAGGCGCGGGACCATGACGACGTCCTGCTGCACGGCCGCAGCGAGCTGCGCCGCCGCCTGTGGGTCATCCGGCTGAGGAAGGCGACGAATGTTGCTGAGGAAAGCGGGTAGGGGCGCGGTCGGAGCCAGTACACCGTACGCGGTGTTCGCGGTCGCGGGGAGCGCGCCGAAGGTGAGGTCCGTCTCGGGACTGGCCTCGCGCACCCATCTGGGATAGTGCACCGGGTCCGCGGACCTGTCGGCGATTCGCGTCGCGTTGAAGAGCGATCGCGGTCCGGGTCTGACGGTCAGCGCCGTGACTTCATGCGAAGGCATTAGGCGGTTGGGTATATTATCGAGCGGGGTATCAGGGGTGTCGAGAGTTTGATGCCAGACCGAGTCTGGGCGCGGAGTACTTCGCTCTCTGTCGAGTCTCCGCTGCACAGGCACAACGTCCTGTTCTGGAGCATCTGGGTATTTGTGGTCAAACCAGAGATGCCGGTGCATCATGCTACTTTGTACCACCGATGTGCAGCCTGGCAAGTTGTTTCAGCATTCACTAGCAGTGCATAGCTTCGGCACAATAAATTGACCTATCACCACACACGGAAGCTCAATTGTAGCAATGTGGTCTTTCATAATATGTCGATACAGCTCCGAATATGCTGCATATGTGTTTTGACAATGTTGCCAATGGCATTGATGATTTCCCTGCATTATGCATGAGATTTTATCAGCACAGGTTAACACCTGGGTGAATAAGTGACAAGGAAAACTGACCGGTCCGTCTTGAGCTGAATAAGGTGGTCTGCTGTGTGTGGCTTGACAATGGCGCACATGTACGTGCTGTGATGAGAAGTATCAAGTCAGCAACATGCCTTCAAAAGCACAGTCTTAAGCGTGCGAGTCCAGCAGTTCCCATGCAGGCATCAGAGCATAGAAAATTGCCACCTGTGCAGCTATGCCGATCACACAGCAACAGCTGTCACTACATCTATAGTCTGGCGACTATACATCCATGAAGAGAGGGGCGAAAGCAGGCTTGAGGGTCAAGCATAGTTTTCGCATTTTTCAGAACCAGCAGAAGTGCTTTGCAGCCTGCGGTAGCAAGAACAGCAAGAAGCTGCCCTGGCGTCAGGTAGCCGGAAAACATGTGTCAAGGTGCAGAACCCAGAGGAGCAGAAATGGATGTACAGTTCCACTGTGTTGCACACCTTGCCAACATGTCAAACCAGTGGTTGGCTCGCACTCAGGATCGTGAGCGGTAAGAGCAGTGCAATATTGTGCAGAGAGACATATCACCATAGCATGGTAAAGACCGAGAGAAAGCCTTGGCCACTCACATTGTTCAGCGACATCCATGAGTTCGCTATGACGGTGCAGCCTTGCCATCCACAGTGGAGAGAGTAAAGTGTGAACTGAGCGATCTGTATAGCCTGTGAAGCTGAGACAAAGAGAGGAGCATTGATGTTGCTGCTCATGCACAGGTGCCGGAGACTGCAAAGGAAGCTGGTGTGGTGGTGTTGGAGGTCAACAAGAGGGCACTAATTAGGCAGGAACTCTCGACCGCTTTTTTGATGCAGTGCCGTCACGCCAGTGGCATGACGGCGCAAGGAGTCTAACATGCCTGCGAGTGCTGCCATGAACGCCAGACACCAGCGACGAGCTTCGTCACGTAGCGACCGGAGATCTAAGTTCGGGATTTACTCGCGCTTCCTGTCCGCAGAAGCTGGCAGCGGCGAGTCCGAACAGACGGCTGTGAGAAAGCAGCGGCAAACTTTGTCACACGCATGTCACGGCGTGCAGACTTGTAAAGCCCTGGCGTCCGCAGCGGTTCTGCTCAGACATGCCCACATTGCATGAACATGAGATGTACTGCGGCTAGGTAGGATGTATCGTGTGCGAGGCCCACCAGTCGCAGGCCAGCCTCATGACTTCAGTCGAAGCTGCAACGTGGGCAGAACTCGGGGGAGTGGGCGGCTACTTCCACTGCATACTCGAAATTGGTCCGCAGTCTCTAGCGGCTTGACAGACTAACATTCTTCAAGAAGGAAGCAGAAAAAAAAAATAACACATCGGAGCGTAGATCATTCGATGAAACGGGCAGGAAACTCGACTTCGACCTCTATAAAAACAATGCCACAAACCTGGATCGAACAGGTGACCTTTAGAAAACGGCAAATGCCGAGCGCGGAGGGCGACTTCAGTCTACTGCTCTCCCAACTGAGCTATTGCGGCAATATTAGCGCCATCGCAAGACGATTCGCGTATTACCCGTGCCGATACAGGGCAAACAATTCTATTGCTCATCGTCAACAGCACCAAGGATCTCCTCTTCATTGCCCTTGACCTCCGGCGTTGCGCTCTGCTTTCTCACCTCTGCTGACGGCTGCTCTTCCACGGCGTTGTTCGACCCGACGTCCAACGAGGGCGGCGTAGGCGCCTTGATCACTGGCGTCGGACCAGAGAAGTCTTTGCCCGTCATGCGGGACAGCGTCTGCATATCTGGAAGGGATAAGTGTCAGCAGAACCACACATGTGTGCCGAGGAACAGATCCCATACCGTACGGTCGCCTGTTCTTTAAGCACCATGTGATGCGGTTCGGGTTACGCTTGTCTTCAGCCTTGAACTTGTTCTTGCACGCCTTCCTATCTCGCCCGGGCATGATATACGAGATGAGCTCATAGTTTTCACCGAACTGCTGAAGGGCCTGGATAAAATGAACGGCAACCCATCAACAACCGTTCGCGACATATAGGGCTGGCGAGATACATACATCGTAGAAGAGCTCGGTTTCCTCTGCGCTCCATCTCGAGCCGCGAAGCTTCTTGCTGTACGTCGACGAGTTCACGAATTTCGTCGTATCAGACTCTTCGATATGAGTGTAGTTCGCAGTCTCGTCCTCTTCTTGTCGGTCGACAAACAGAGAGGTTTCGTCGATGATGGTCTCTCCGTTTGGCCCAATCCGGACCTGGACGTTGAACCGACTAGTCGCCATATTCTGGGTATAGTCGTAGTCGTCGCCCTTCTGGTTCTCCGCGTCTTCGTCGTCTACAGCGTCTACAGAAGCAGCGGCAGTAGTGGACGCCTCTGCTACTGCCGGCGTTTCGGAGTCGCCGCCTTTGGGCTCGGCGGAAGTGGTAGAGGGACCTGACGCACCGGGCGCGTTTTCTTCATCGTCAAGGTTGCGGCCGTACTTCTTAGCCTCCGCGACTGCCCTCTGACGGGCGCGTCTCTCCCTGTTTGCCTGCCGCCACGCGGCGTGGTTGCTCATTATTTGCGCGGCTTTGGCACTGACCCGTCCACGCCCGGTGTCGTCACAGAGTTCTGCCATAGTGACCGCAGTGGGATCGAGCTCCTCGCCGGGGTCCGCTTCGGGGTCGTAGGGCGGTAACGAAGGGGCGCGAGAGCGACGCGTACGCTTGCGGCGCGGCTCAGCTTCGCCGTCTTCACCGTCAGGTGCGTCCGTGGTTGCTGTCGCGCTGCGTCTACGCCTCGCCGGCTGGGACGATCCTTCACCTGTGGAAGATTTTCTGAGACGAGTACGTCCAGCCTGTTCAGGGCCGTCTTCTCCTGCTCCTGCTCCCTGCGACCTCGTTGAACGACGAGCTTGGGTTGAGCCTTCTCCACTGCCGCTGAGCACATCCGTAGTGGAGTCGTGCAAGGGAGGTTGATTGGTCCCGTCTGTTTGCCGAAGAGCAGTTACGACAGCCTCGAGCAGCGCAGGGTCTATTTGCGCATCACTGATGTTGGACGAAGTAAAGTCTGTATTCAGTGGGAACGGGTCAGGGATTTGGACGTGATCTTCTATGGGAGGAGCAAAGCTCTGAGCAGAACTGGAGGCGACAGCTGGTGCAGGAGTCATGGCATATCTAGAAGGGATGGCAATGGTATTAGGAGTCGGACTTGGGCCGTCTTGGCGTGCGGGAAGAGCAGCAGGGCGTGTGGGGGTTATCTGCACCGCTGGCGGCCGTGCGGTGGTACGAGAAGGCGTCGCTATTGCTGAAGCAATTTGCGGAGGTTGACTGGGTTTGGGAGTAACGGGCGTAGGAGCAGGATGAGCAGCATGCTCCTCAGGGGAGACCCATGTTAGGGATGGCGGTTTCTGGGGGATGGTGGACGGTGGAGGCATGGACGCGTTCGACGCGACATCGGTGGGATGTCCGTGAGATGGGGGAGCAGATGCGCGGTGGTCGTGAGCCTGCGGTGTCTGGCGAGCTTCGCTTCCTACACGAGCGCGTGGTTTCGCGACAGGCCTAAAGACGGCGTTTCCCTTTTCTGTGATAGCAGAGGGTGTAAGGCAATCGCAGATACCCTCAAGTAAAAATGCACATACGTACACGAGTCGACATGCTTATGCTCGACTCTAAAGTTGGCCTGCAGAGGCTGCTCGATGTGAAGGGCGACGAGGCGGTGGACGTTCGGGGCGAAGAGCAGAGCGCCCATAATTAGTCGCGGCGCGGAAGCGCCGCCACCGATCAGCGAGGATGCGGGACGCTGCGACTCTCCCGGTTTCCTTTCTCCCAAACCACGCTTGCTAAATGGCACGCATCGTCGACCTCCCCGTCGGACAACATCCAGGCTGGGAGCTACAGGACAAAGCACTCAACATCGACGGCTCAGACTTTCTTCCCATTGCGGAGAGGTGCGGTTTCACCGACACGCTCGATTCCGTCCTTGCTGAGATACTCATAGCCTAGTCTTGCTACAGTCACTGAAACAGTGTGAGCAGCCACCCACATCGCAACGCTTCGTTTCCTTATATTCTCAAGGAACAGCTCGGGACAGATGGCTTACTTGCGCCTTTCCTCGACTGCCAAAGGGCCGCGGGTCGAAACAGGTCGCGCAGAACGTTCCTCTGCACGAATACAAGGCCCATGACAAATTTGAACTCTCTGTCGGTCCGAGCATCTTTCCCGAAACTGCTCTGTTCGAGGTTGTCTATACCACCGATGCACACACATCCTCCGCCACGCCCTCGGGCTTCGCCTCTCCCGAACTCATCAACCTGGTTAGTGCCGCCGAGGCCAGCAATCCCGAGCTGAAGCTTCTGCTCGATAAGATTCGCACGAAACCTGCGTACGACGCTGATTATAAGCGGCTTGGCGAGTTATTGCAGAGCATGTTCCCGGAGCATCTTGGTCCCAACGCAACCTCCCAATCCTCGACTACTCGCCAGCAGAAGTGGGACCTGGTGATAGAGTTCAGAGAGAAACCGACCGACCGTTGGATATTTCCCAGAGGTCTTGTACAGCTTGGCAGGGCGTACGACACGGCCAGGGGCAAGAGGTTCGACGTCATGATATCAACTATGCTCCCGTACACGCAGGAGCAAGTCGGCCTAGACCTGAAAACTCTGGACCAGCAGAACCTTGCTAATATGGCTTCTGACGACGACGACGTCAAACCCAGTCCTGTTACCTTTCACTGGAAGGGTGTGACTTCGCAGATGTACGACCTGCTCACCCAGTGGTCATTACAACCAGATAACTGGGAACACTTCAAGGTGAGACCTAATTCATCCAGCACGAGCGTTGATTCGATCCCACTGTAGTCATCCAATCGCATGTATCTACCACATCAACTCCCTGAAGGCGAATTACTGGGAATTATCCGCACGGTGGGACATCCAGCAAATCTGTCATGCGAATGCAACTGACCATTGTCCAGGCACTTGCGCCAACGTGGACTCTCAAGTCGATAAAGCCTGCGAACGCAGACAGCGCTCGGGCCAAGCGAAGAGGTGGACGACGCAAAGCTGTCGTTGAGAAAGCAGCGCGGCCTGCTACTGCGCTTGACCCTGCCCCGTTTACTTGGCCGCCCGTCCCTCCGCCCCTCAATATTGTACAAGTGCAACCGGGACGTTCTTCAACTCTCCCGGCTGAAACAGCTACGCTTGCACCCGCAGAGCCGAGACAGCCTTCGCCATCCGCTCCTCCGTCGTCTCGGCGGAAACCCTCGGCTCCTCCTCTCCCACGAGAATCCTTACCTCCCTCTCAGCCGCGTCCCCAGCGTCTCGACGAAGCAATGGAACTCAAGCAAACCCCGGCTCCTTCAGGAAGCGTTGGCCTGCCTGTCGTTGACCGACAACCGCATTCGCCGCGGCCCACTTTCCCTGCGTCATCTGTCGCCCTGGAGGCAAATGAGCCAGGCCCGCCTTCGACGCGAGTCTCTGTATCTAATGCCTCAAATGCGTCTTCGCCTGAAGGGTCGCCCGCACCTTCAGCAGATGATGGCTCAGATCATCCGAACAAACGCAGGAAGATTCCCCCAAAGCCCAAATTCAGCCATCCTTTTCCATCATGCAAGACTTGCGGGCGCACGAATGTGCAACTGCTACATGCTGGACGTGAGTCAATATATTACTGGACCCTACGCATGCTAATCGTCTACCGCAGAGTTTTGTCGTATGTGCATCGATATACATCGGCCGCAGCCTCCGCCTCCGCCGCCGGCTCGCCCTCAATACCACTCCTCTCCCTCCTACCAGTCCCACTATTCATCCAGCTCCTCTCCACACCCCTATCCCCCAGCTCACTCCTCACAATCCTACGGGTCGTACTCGCACAACTCCTACGCTCACGGCCACTACTCGCCTGCAAACGGGAGCCAACCGCTCACGTTTAACTTCTACGTACCACCGGGCGCCCCACCCCCACCCCCACCCCCACCCCCATAGCACTGACATGGGCCGTTGTATGCGTATATCATTATGAACATTAGGAATTTCTTAGGTATATCATGAGATCTTGCTGCCTATATGATACAGTATCCATTTTAATCCAAAAGACGACCGTGCGGGAAACGAGATGAGATGCAAGGAGTGTGGGTGGAGAATGGGGTAAACGGAGAGAAATTAGTTAAATATCTTGACGGCCCAGCCGAGCCACCAAGCGACGACACCAAACTCGACGAAGACGATGACGCATTCCACGATCACGGCGACCCATTGGATGAAGAGTCCGAACGTGAAGAATGGTATGAACAGGGCCCACAGTCCCGTATGAGTAATCCAAGGGAGGTTGTAGTTCATCGTCGAAGAGACAGCAGCGCCGATTTGGAGTGTCGTGATTCCGATAGATATGAGAGAGAAGAGGAAAAGACCAAGCCAGTGCCGGAGGGAACGCTTGGGTAACGAGGTGATGGGGTATCGCTTCTGCTCGCCCGTGAATTCGTTGCGGTACCAGGGAATGATGAAAAAGTCCTGGACGTCCTCGCCGATGACCTTGCCGTAGTT